TACACAAGGAGTTCTAGGCCAGCCAGAGCTACATAGTGAGAAACTGCAGAGAAGGCGGGGGGTGGGGAGTGGAGGAGACTGGAGATGTAGCTCAATGGCAGAGTGCTTTCCTACTATGTGCAAGGTCCTAGGTTCAATACTTAAGACCAAAAATCTTTTAGAAACTAAAATTTGGGGTCTGGGGATGTAGCTCAGTGGTAAGGTCTTGTGTTTAGCATGTGTGAGGTCCTAGGTTCCTTGCCCAGCACCACCAAAATCCCCAAATACAACATTTGAACCTGGAATAGGTCCAAAATCTGGAAAAACTAAACTGCCATAAAAATGGATTCTGTTGGGGCTGGAGAGGTGGTTCAGCAGTTAAGAGCACTGCCTGCTCTTGCAAAGGACCCAGGTTAGGTTCCCAGCACCCACATGGCATCCCACAATGGTCCATAATCCACTTCCAGGGGATCTGATGGCCCTTTCTGATGTCCATGGATGCCCTCTTCTGACCTATTCAGGCATACAGGTACACTTATATACATGCAGGCAAAACACTTGCACACATAAAATTAAATATTTTTTTCATTTCAAATGGATCACTTTTATGGAATCTCTACTGCCGGTGTTCTAGTGTGTGGTAATGGTTCTGTAGTTCTCTTGAAGGTCAGTTCCTGGGAACTGATACATGCTGATATGGTCAGTGGGAGAGATCTCAAGGTGCATGCAGTGTTAATTCCCAATAGTTCTGCAAAATAAGATGCATTTAAGGTAGTAAGTATATGTGGCAAGTACCCGTGGTAATAAAAACATGTTGACACATTTGATTCTAGGTAGAAAGGTGTGAGGATGTGCATCCTCCTGCTTTCCACTTTCTGTGCACTGAAAACATTTGGGGTACTAGCACAAAGGAGGTTGAGGCAGGGGGTCACAAGTCTGAGACCATCCTCAAAAAAAATCAGAATAAAGATGGGAAGATGGAAAACTATGTCCAGGATCACCTGTGTTCCTCCAATTTCTCCTCCACCCCTCCCACATCCTAGGCAAATAAAGAAGAGAGGCATTGGCATTCTAAGCAGCTTTACTGAGGCAGAATTCATGAGCCATACAATCCACCTATCTTATGTATGCGATTTCCGTGGGTTTTGGTATATTTACAGTATTATGCACCCATTACCAAAGTCTATTTTAAAGTTTTTTCATTACTACCACAGGCCTTCACACCCTTCAGTCTCCTCTCCAGTTCTAGGCCATCACCACTGTAGCTTCGTCCCTGGATGAACCTGATCTGTACTTCTTGAAGACTTGACACATGCTGCCGGTTCTTTCACAAAACAGCCCGTGTTCTGTTGTTTGCTCACTCTGCTTCTCTGCGGGAGTTAGGGGAGCCGGCATCCTGCTTGACCTCTGAAGCCTAGGGGCTTCCTAAGAAGACCACGACATCTGCCTCTGGCTCTGTTGAGGGATGTGGCAAGAAAGGAAGCAGGTGTACCCTCAAAGAAAGTGATCTGGACTCCATGTTGAAGGAGGTCAATCTCTGCTTTCGTTGGCTGAGGGCCCTGCATGGGGCATCTCCAGCTTGAACCCCCATTGTATATCCTGACCTTTGCAGGTACAGAGCCTCCTGAACCCTGCTGTGGACGGGTTCAGTGTGGCCTTTGTCAAGAGTCCATCTCAGGTCTCATCTCCATGGACACCACTCATGATGTTCAGGCAATACTTCCTTAATGGGACTGATGACACAGCAATCCAAACACCTGGAAAAAGCAGATGCTTCTCAGTAAGAAAACCACTCTATAACTACTTTGGTTTGTTTGTTCTGGGAGTAACATTTCTTTTTTGAGACAGAGTCTTGCTATGTAGCCCAGGCTAGCCTTGAACTGGTGGGCCTCCTGTTGGAATTACAAGCATACACTACTACTACATACCTGGGTACATAGCTGTCTTTAAGACAGTCCAGCTATATTCTAGCTCAGCTCAAAATATCTTGAAGTACTCGTTTTGTGTAAATTCTAAGGACTGCTCACACCCAGAGAGGAACCACGTGAGGGCTCATAGCTGAAAACACAATAGGGGACTTGGTGGAGAAGGATCTTTCCAGTGTGAAAATTCTGTAACGAATGATAGGGCAGGAATGTCTCTAAAGTAATAATGGCATCAAGAAGTTTGGGACTAAGAACTTGGTGAAAACTGCCCAGGTCTGAGGTGCTAGTGCTACCACATTTTGTAATAGATTTCCAAACAACCACAAAGGACACATGAGTGGAAGGTAGCTAGGCAGTTGTATTTCATCTAACCCTTGTCCCTCATTGCATTCTCCTTGTAGTGGATTTTATTATCAATTACTTGGATGAGGCCCTTGTTCATATGCTGTTTTAAATGGGGTGTCCTACTAGGGAATGGATAAAGCCTGTGTGTTCTTCACGTCATCTCTCAGTCCGACTTCACTGAGCCCACAACAAGCCACCTAAGTCCCTATGCATACCTCAGAACACAGCCCAGCAGCCATCTGTGATACCAACAGGGAAAAACCCTCAAGCTTCTTATCTCAGGGCACTTGCTGGGCACATCCATTCCTACAAGATGACACATGCAAAGGCCATCAGCTCCCCTGGTCTAATGTTAGACATGCAACAAACTATTCACTCAAAGAAGCAATTCAACAGAAACTCCAGAGTTTAACTTCAAGAAGAGTAAAGTTCAAACTAGACTCTGTATTTCATTTTTTAACCATAAACAAATGATATAAATCCAAGAAAAGGGCTGGGGTATAGCTCAGTGGTAAAGTTTTTGACCATCTTGCTTAAGATTCTGAGTTCAATTCCCAGAAGTGATTTTTTTTTTTTAAGTAAAACACAGTAGTGATTCTCCAACATCAACCACACCTGTAGGCCTGAGGTTATATATTGCAGTAACTAGAAATTTCTAGGCGCTCATGTTTAGGCCCAAGGGTGCCAACCCAGAGAGGCACAGTTCATGCTCAGCGCTTAGGATGAGATTTGTTTTCTACCTCCTTTTTGACCTGTTGAACGGGCTCCTTCTCCCCACCCCCAGCCCCCCAGCCCATATTCATTCTCTACTTCCCTCCCACCCCCTTTCAATAGCATCATTTTCCACCCTTAACAGCCACCTAAGGACAGTTATCCAGGGAACAGTGCCCAGGTAACTTGTAATAGTGAAATCAAATGCTTATGTTTTTCCCTGCAGTAGGGTAACATTTCTCATCTCTTATTTTCCTTGGCCAGAGGGAAGATGCCATTCAGGGAACCCCAGGTGTTTTGAAGATGAAAAGGAAGGTAGGAGGCCTGGCTCAGTGCTTATTAACCACAGAGAGAACTAGGTTCACTTCAAGAAAGAATAAAATAATGGCCAGGAGAGACAATGACTCTTAATGAATTCATGTGAGGAAAGTGTGAGGTGGCCAGTTTGGGGGACATGCAGTCAGTCCATAGGCTGCCTTCTGAAGGAGAGGAGCAAAGCGATTGTTTTCTATTCTGCACAGTATTTACTCACCTTTCCTGAAGCTCACAGGGCTGGCTGGATTTCCTACCCAGTGAAGCATTGCTTCTCTCCAAGTGTCTTGGCTACAGCTAGGACTTGTGACCCTGGAGTCCCTGAGAAAGGACTCCCTCAGCCAGGTGAGCTGCTCCACTTCTTGCCCTGACCTCTCCCCCCCTCCACTCCCCAATCAATCTCTTCCTCCGGGGTCAGGAATCTTACTAGAATTCTACCTAGTGCAAGGGTTAGCAAGCCTAGTTTTAAATATTATCTTTCCTGTGTCAGACTTGGGTGCTTGGATCTTCTGAAAAATAAAACAGCCTTAGACTTGAGGGGTCGGGGTGGGGAGGGAAGAGCAAGGGGGAAGGGAGAGAGAGGGAGAGGGAGAGGGAGAGGGAGAGGGAGAGAGAGAGAATGAATATATGAATGAATGACTCCCAGGGGCTGCCTCTTTCCTGAACAGGTGGCCCCTTGGCACAAGCTCCCTGAAATCACTTTCTTCCTGGACTGTAAGAGAGCTGATTCCCTTTCCCAGAAAGACTCACACCCCTCAATCTGGACTGGGGAGTACTCTGGGGGAGGAGCCTGGAGTGCAAAGCCAGAGGTCTGTGGCCTCCTGCGAAGTCGCACTATCTGCCTTGGACCCGCGTATCTAGTGTAAACGCGGTTTCACACATAAATAACGTGCCACATCTGGCCCTTTGGTTTTATGGCGTCTTAGCGACCGAGCAATTTATGGATGGCGACCTTGTTAACCAGCAGCCGGGGCTCGCCAGGCGCTGCGCCCTGGGCACTGATGGGCACGGAGGAGGGGCGAGCAGAGGAGCGACCTAGGGCCCGGGTCTCCTGCTCAGAAGGGTGCCACGGAGTGAACCCACCTCGAATTTGAGGGGAAGGGGCCAAGGCAAGGTGGAAGGTGGAAGCCTCCCTCCCTCCCAAACCGGCCATGTGGCAGCTGAAAGAGCCATCGAAGCCCAAGTGTGTTTGCGCTCATACCCAATTTATTACCGCTGAACATATGGCCAATATTTTGACTCACGTCAGTCGGGCTAGGAAAACAAACAGAGCGCTGCGCTGCCCCTCCGTTGTGGCTGCAGCGGCGCGGGAGCGGGAGGGGGAGCCGGCGGGAGCCCGAGCCCGAGCCCGACCGGGAGGGGGGAGTT